AAAAGTTCAGAAGAAGAAAGAGGATATCTAATGTTTTTCGAAATCGCAAAAATAAAATTTAGATGCTGAATGAACTAGTTCAGCACTAAGAAAGCAGCCGTTCAAGCGACTACCACCAAGTTCTCCATGGGACCGCTCTCCCGGGCTTTAGTCACCACGCTCATCTTGTCGTTGCTCGACCCGTTGACGCTCACTTTTTCAATGCTCAGTTTTTCAATATGTCTTTTTGACAATGCGCTAGAAATTCGCTCCTTGAATACTTCAGTGGGCAAAGGCCCGGATTACAAGTATGATTTAAACCGTCCTCTTTGAACTCAATTATTTCGATACTCTGCTCAATTTCTTACTCTCCGTATTATATCCTGCTGGAACTCGCTTCCAAAAACCGTGTTCCCACCCTTGGTTTCATCCATCTCTTTTAAAACTAAATTAAGTCATGATAATCTATCTTCTTTTCTGTTCTTAGACGAACATAATTTCTAACTCATTTGTTTAATTTGTAACACATTGATTTTATAAGTGACTGATAGTCCTGAATCAATAAATTATTATTATTATTATACTCATAAAAAAATCTAACATTTGTCAACTGATAAAATATTGGTTAATAATCAGTTCAAAAGTTTTTGATATTTTTCACAGAAAACCATATAATTGAGATCAAAGTTGAGGTCTGGGTGAGGTTTCAATAGAAAACATACGGTAATTTGAAAATGTTATGCTTTTGAAGTTCGAACATTTCCCACGGTGTCACATACATTTTGAAGTTATCTCTTCTTTTTCAAATCCCTTTCTCCCAGTTTTATCCTTCTTATCTTCGTCTCAGTATTATTTTGTCAAATGACCAAATTTAATATTTGTTTATTTGCCTCATCAAAAAAAGATCTATGGAGTGTCTAGAAATTTAATTTATAGATTTTTCTTGACGTTTACTGACTTGAACTTCTAGAAATTTTTGTTTATTAAATAAGACAATTGATGAATAATGTTTCATGTTTAAAAAATCAGTCCCGGATTTTTATTGAAACGTTTATTGAAACTTTTTTTTAAATGACACTCCGTTCTTACCAAGCTTGTTCGTCAACAGAAAGTTTGTTTATTTTCATTATTGACCACGAAAATCTTTGAGAAAGACAGAAAAAGATAACTGAAAACCAGTGTCTTGAAAATTCTCTAAAAAGCCCGTGCAATTTTTCTCTATATGTTTTCGGTTAATTTTTCTATGTCTTACACTCCCGTGAGCATTGACCAAAAAACTATAATGGGCAGGATGGCGCGAGTTTTGGTTTCCATGGCAAGACGAGGTGTGAGACAAGAGCTTTCTGACAATCTGTTTTTTTTCTGACTAGCAGATTTTTTCTTTCGGAAAATGCACTAAAACTACGATTGACTTTCTACATAGAGTGCCTCACACCATTTTTCAAATCCTCGAAAATTGCAGCCTATCAAAAGGGAACAAAACTGTTTTATAGCCACGACCCCCTATTAATCGTTCTATTTTCTTTCATTTTTTACTTTTTGTCTATTTTTTCCTTCAGAAAATGTTCTAAAAGTGCATGTGATAGTTCTTATCATTATTAACCGAGACAATGTTTCAGCTGTTTTATCATATGCTACCAAGACTAGTGAGAAGTGAAACCTTGTTTCATAAAAATTTCTTATCGTTTTTTTTTACTTTTTTATTTTTAAATGGCTTCAGGCGTTATGGATCTGGATGAATATTTGGAGAAGGTGACCGAGGTGCGGCAGGACACGGAAAAGTTGATGGAAATGGTAGAGGAAGCTTTGGAATCTGTGAAAAGATCCATGGAAGATGCTAAAATATGGTCACAGCAAATGGCAGTACGATACCCTGAGAGCTCAGAGCTGTAAGTGGCAACGAGTTTGGAGGACGAAAAAAATTTGAAAATTGGTTTTAAGCAGGATGATGGAGGAAGCAGAAACGTCAAGAAAACGAAGTGCAGAAAGATCGGAAGATGGGAATGAGGTGGTTCCAGTGAAAAAGTGACTGTGAACTTCAAATCAAGGTTATGAAAACTTACTTGTCTGAAAATAAAGAATCCCGGCAATGACAATTTTTCCTATTTTTGACATAACGATTTCGAAGCAAATAATGTTTAAAAGTAAGCACAAAACCCAATAACCGCGAAAAATCCAAAAACTGAAAAATTCGAGTTCTCGAAAATTTCGAATTCTTAAAAGTTGTGCTGTGTAGCTTCCATGAAAGTTAATAAACATTTTTGTTTTTTTCTGCCAATAGCAACTGAATTAATAAAAACCTATTACAGACGGGCCGCCACATTGCCAAGTTTAGGTTAAATTTTTCATGGCTGCTGTTCATGATATCAAAAATGTGTTAACAAATAAAATTTTGTGATAATATGACAAACATTCTATCTGTTGACAACTTGTTCATATCTTCGACATGAGCTGAGATTAGCTCAAAAATTAAAAAAATGTCAACCTTAGTTCCCCTTAGTGTGTGGATCCTCTTTCCCATTTTTTCTTTTTCCTCATTTCCTCATAAAACGAAAATTGTCATATGTTTGACTTTCGAATCACCCTTCTGCAGTTTACTTTTCTCAATTTCCTTCTTTCTTTCAGTTCTTCTTTTCACTTTCGGTTTTTTTTTATACACAACGCCCCGTCATTCCTCACTCTTTTTCCGCGAATCGCATCGAAAATTTTCGAAAAAGAGTCAGTTGAAAAAGAGGCAGTGACGTCACTGAAGAGACGGCAGAGAACCGATTTCGTCAGCCGACGAGTCTTTTCGAAAACATCGGGGGGTTCTTTGTCGCCTGACTCTGGCCACACGCGACGCGGCCGCTCCGCCTAGGGTCTCTGTGTCTCTTGCTCAGCCACACTCTTTCCGTTTACCCCGCCTAATCGTATCGATTCTTTTTCGTCGCGCCTCCACTATTTCTCGCGGGCGGTCTCTGCCACCTCTCGCAACGTCCAGTGTCTTGTAGAAGGTTCTCGAAGGCATAGCAAGAGACGCATATAAATACGCCCTCTGTCTGTTGACACTCGCCATTTGTCCCGTTTTCCCTCTACCCAGCTCTCGTTTTCCTTAGCCCCCAGCTCATAAAATTTTCCATATTCTACTATTTCAAGTTTTGATAGAACACATTCGGATTCCAGGATCCACAACAACACGACTCGGATTCGGTGAGATGGTCCCAACACCAGGTTCTAGGTCTTCTTGGTCTTCTACCAACGGTTCATGACTTCTTGTCCAAAAACTGCTGCTCTTCAAGCATAGATGTCTCTAAACTAAGGTTCTTCTGAATATCCCAGGACTCGAGTGACTACCAGGTTCCTTTGAACAGGCATTATGTAACTCCTTGGTTATGACTTACCTCTCATCTCTATCCAGCTGGAGACAACCCAAGTTGGCTGCGAGGTTCGTTAGGTTTGCGCCTGTCTTTTCCTCTCTTATCGCGACCCATGTAAGGGATCCGTGTGTTCATCACTAACCCAACTATTCCAGCTATCTCGAATTTCCTTAGAAAAGTCGCTCGCTTTCAGGTGTCAAAGGGATTAGAGTGACTAGACAAACCCGCTAAACAAATCTCGAATCACGAACTATTTTGTTCCTCTTCTCCTTGTGTTACTTGCCTCGAGATGACGCTTACAACTTCCGGATATATAGCTGAGACCCCGGATCTTTGCGTGCCTCAAAACCTCAAAACACTCAAAAGCTCGCTATGGACTTTGACTTTTTCATCTCTTGTTTCTACAACTATTCTTCTTTGCAAAGTGTGAAACCTTCTTGAATTGTCAGAAAAAAATATATCAGAAAAAATTAAAAACGGTTTAATAATAAAACCAAATCCAAACTTCCATTGTAAGATTGTGTCCAATTTTTCAAAAAAATCTCCAAAATAATAAATCATGGTAATTTCTAAAGTCGATGTTTTGTTGATCCTCTCCTCTCCTTTTTCTCTAGAATTCAGTTTTTCGAAAGAATTGCGAAATAAAAGGATCATCAAGCATTCGACGCGCTCCTCACTCTCAGGTCTTGCGAAATCAGTCGTCCCTATTCTATAGTGCATTGAATGACTCATCGCTGTTATCATATCAACCAGGTAAAACAGATATCATCCTCCAACCGTTCTTGCAGGTTTTTAACGTGTATGATGGTAGTATCAAATCAACTTTAGGAAACCAGTGAAAAAAAAAATTCAAATTCAGATTTTTACGAAACGAAGCCAGTACTCATCCGATGACCAGCTCTTATTGTTTTTGTATTGTTGTGAAAGAAAAACTTTTTCAATTATTTCAATTTTCAGATTTAAATTTTTGAAGGGTGTTTTTTATGTGATAGAGTAGTTACATGCGCCAAAGATTGAATATCTTTAATGGGAATCATAAAGTGACAAAAATAAATTTAAGAAGATGTGGGATTAAGTATGAGCAGCTATTTTTAGGTACTTTTCTGAACTTTGACCACAAGTGTTAGTCTCTCGATAAACTGAAGTTCGCACTAGGCATCTAAACTCGACAGAATTGTTACAATATCTAGAACTCATAATTCAATCTCATCAATTTAGGCTCTCGCAGACGTTTCGTGTTCTATAAAAATTCGAAATCAAATCTTAAAAATCTCAAACAACTTTATTATTACTCTAGGTAGCTCATCTCAATAAGATCGTACCAAAATTCGAAACTCCAAACTCAATCTCAATAGTTTAGCCATTCTCAGGCGTCATGTGTTCTCTCAAAATTCCAAACTTCAAACTTTAAAATCTCAAAAGCCTTACTATCACTCTAGGTAGCTCATCTCAATAAGATCGTATTAAAATTCCAAATTCGAAACTCAATCTCAATAATTTAGCCATTCTCAGGCGTCATGTGTTCTCTTAAAATTCCAAATTCAACCTCTAAAATCTCAAAAGCCTTACTATCACTCTAGGTAGCTCATCTCAATAAGATCGTACCAAAATTCCAAACTTCAAACTCAATCTCAAAAATTTAGCCATTCTCAGGCGTCATGTGTTCTCTCAAAATTCCAAACTTCAAACTTTAAAATCTCAAAAGCCTTACTATCACTCTAGGTAGCTCATCTCAATAAGATCGTAGTAAAATTCCAAACTCCAAACTCAATCTCAATAATTTAGCCATTCTCAGGCGTCATGTGTTCTCTTAAAATTCCAAATTCAACCTCTAAAATCTCAAAAGCCTTACTATCACTCTAGGTAGCTCATCTCAATAAGATCGTACCAAAATTCCAAACTCCAAACTCAATCTCAAAAATTTAGCCATTCTCAGGCGTCATGTGTTCTCTCAAAATTCCAAACTTCAAACTTTAAAATCTCAAAAGCCTTACTATCACTCTAGGTAGCTCATCTCAATAAGATCGTAGTAAAATTCCAAACTCCAAACTCAATCTCAAAAATTTAGCCATTCTCAGGCGTCATGTGTTCTCTTAAAATTCCAAATTCAACCTCTAAAATCTCAAAAGCCTTACTATCACTCTAGGTAGCTCATCTCAATAAGATCGTACCAAAATTCCAAATTCGAAACTCAATCTCAATAATTTAGCCATTCTCAGGCGTCATGTGTTCTCTTAAAATTCCAAATTCAACCTCTAAAATCTCAAAAGCCTTACTATCACTCTAGGTAGCTCATCTCAATAAGATCGTACCAAAATTCCAAACTCCAAACTCAATCTCAAAAATTTAGCCATTCTCAGGCGTCACATGTTCTCTTAAAATTCCAAACTTCAAACTTTAAAATCTCAAAAGCCTTACTATCACTCTAGGTAGCTCATCTCAATAAGATCGTATTAAAATTCCAAATTCGAAACTCAATCTCAATAATTTAGCCATTCTCAGGCGTCATGTGTTCTCTTAAAATTCCAAATTTAACCTCTAAAATCTCAAAAGCCTTACTATCACTCTAGGTAGCTCATTTCAATAAGATCGTACCAAAATTCCAAACTCCAAACTCAATCTCAATAATTTAGCCATTCTCAGGCGTCACGTGTTCTCTTAAAATTCCAAACTTCAAACTTTAAAATCTCAAAAGCCTTACTATCACTCTAGGTAGCTCATCTCAATAAGATCGTACCAAAATTCCAAACTCCAAACTCAATCTCAAAAATTTAGCCATTCTCAGGCGTCATGTGTTCTCTCAAAATTCCAAACTTCAAACTTTAAAATCTCAAAAGCCTTACTATCACTCTAGGTAGCTCATTTCAATAAGATCGTACCAAAATTCCAAACTCCAAACTCAATCTCAATAATTTAGCCATTCTCAGGCGTCATGTGTTCTCTTAAAATTCCAAATTCAACCTCTAAAATCTCAGAAGCCTTACTATCACTCTAGGTAGCTCATTTCAATAAGATCGTACCAAAATTCCAAACTCCAAACTCAATCTCAATAATTTAGCCATTCTCAGCGTCATGTGTTCTCTTAAAATTCCAAATTCAACCTCTAAAATCTCAAAAGCCTTACTATCACTCTAGGTAGCTCATTTCAATAAGATCGTACCAAAATTCCAAACTCCAAACTCAATCTCAAAAATTTAGCCATTCTCAGGCGTCATGTGTTCTCTTAAAATTCCAAATTCAACCTCTAAAATCTCAGAAGCCTTACTATCACTCTAGGTAGCTCATTTCAATAAGATCGTACCAAAATTCCAAACTCCAAACTCAATCTCAATAATTTAGCCATTCTCAGGCGTCATGTGTTCTCTTAAAATTCCAAATTCAACCTCTAAAATCTCAGAAGCCTTACTATCACTCTAGGTAGCTCATCTCAATAAGATCGTATCAAAATTCCAAACTCCAAACTCAATCTCAATAATTTAGCCATTCTCAGGCGTCATGTGTTCTCTTAAAATTCCAAATTCAACCTCTAAAATCTCAGAAGCCTTACTATCACTCTAGGTAGCTCATTTCAATAAGATCGTATCAAAATTCCAAACTCCAAACTCAATCTCAAAAATTGAGCCATTCTCAGGCGTCAAGTGTTCTCTCAAAATTCCAAACTCCAAACTTTAAA